TACAACTCTGCATCCCAAAGCAACAGAATATACTTTCTTCTCGAGTGCACATGGAACATTCTCCAAGATAGATCATATACTGGGTCACAAAACAGCCCTTCATAAGTTTACAAGAATTGAAATCATACCATGCATACTTTCAGACCACAATGCTATGAAGCTTGAAATCAACCACAGAAAAAAGTCTGGAAAACCTCCAAAAGCATGGAGGTTAAAGAACACCCTACTAACGAATGAGTGGGTCAACCAGGCAATTAGAGAAGAAATTAAAAAATATATGGAAACAAACGAAAATGAAAATACAACAATCCAAACGCTTTGGGACGCAGCGAAGGCAGTCCTGAGAGGAAAATACATTGCAATCCAGGCCTATCTCAAGAAACAAGAAAAATCCCAAATACAAAATCTAACAGCACACCTAAAGGAAATAGAAGCAGAACAGCAAAGGCAGCCTAAACCCAGCAGAAGAAGAGAAATAATAAAGATCAGAGCAGAAATAAACAATATAGAATCTAAAAAAACTGTAGAGCAGATCAACGAAACCAAGAGTTGGTTTTTTGAAAAAATAAACAAAATTGACAAACCTCTAGCCAGGCTTCTCAAAAAGAAAAGGGAGATGACCCAAATAGATAAAATCATGAATGAAAATGGAATTATTACAACCAATCCCTCAGAGATACAAACAATTATCAGGGAATACTATGAAAAATTATATGCCAACAAATTGGACAACCTGGAAGAAATGGACAAATTCCTGAACACCCACACTCTTCCAAAACTCAATCAGGAGGAAATAGAAAGCTTGAACAGGCCCATAACCAGCGAAGAAATTGAATCGGTTATCAAAAATCTCCCAATCTGGAGTTCTACCAGACGTTTAAAGCAGAGATAATACCTATCCTTCTCAAGCTATTCCAAGAAATAGAAAGGGAAGGAAAACTTCCAGACTCATTCTATGAAGCCAGTATGACTTTGATTCCTAAACCAGACAGAGACCCAGTAAAAAAAGAGAACTACAGGCCAATATCCCTGATGAATATGGATGCCAAAATTCTCAATAAGATACTAGCAAATCGAATTCAACGGCATATAAAAAGAATTGTTCACCATGATCAAGTGGGATTCATTCCTGGGATGCAGGGCTGGTTCAACATTCGCAAATCAATCAACGTGATACATCACATTAACAAAAAAAAAGAGAAAAACCATACGATCCTGTCAATCAATGCAGAAAAGGCCTTTGACAAAATCCAGCACCCTTTCTTAATAAAAACCCTTGAGAAAGTCGGGATAGAAGGAACATACTTAAAGATCATAAAAGCCATTTATGAAAAGCCCACAGCTAACATCATCCTCAACGGGGAAAAACTGAGAGCTTTTTCCCTGAGATCAGGAACACAACAGGGATGCCCACTCTCACCGCTGTTGTTTAACATAGTGCTGGAAGTTCTAGCATCAGCAATCAGACAACAAAAGGAAATCAAAGGCATCAAAATTGGCAAAGATGAAGTCAAGCTTTCGCTTTTTGCAGATGACATGATATTATACATGGAAAATCCGATAGACTCCACCAAAAGTCTGCTAGAACTGATACATGAATTCAGCAAAGTTGCAGGATACAAAATCAATGTACAGAAATCAGTTGCATTCTTATACACTAACAAGGAAGCAACAGAAAGACAAATAAAGAAACTGATCCCATTCACAATTGCACCAAGAAGCATAAAATACCTAGGAATAAATCTAACCAAAGATGTAAAGGATCTGTATGCTGAAAACTATAGAAAGCTTATGAAGGTAATTGAAGAAGATTTAAAGAAATGGAAAGACATTCCCTGCTCATGGATTGGAAGAATAAATATTGTCAAAATGTCAATACTACCCAAAGCTATCTACACATTCAATGCAATCCCAATCAAAATTGCACCAGCATTCTTCTTGAAACTAGAACAAGCAATCCTAAAATTCATATGGAACCACAAAAGGCCCCGAATAGCCAAAGTAATTTTGAAGAAGAAGACCAAAGCAGGAGGCATCACAATCCCAGACTTTAGCCTCTACTACAAAGCTGTCATCATCAAGACAGCATGGTATTGGCACAAAAACAGACACACAGACCAATGGAATAGAATAGAAACCCTAGAACTAGACCCACAAACGTATGGCCAACTAATCTTTGACAAAGCAGGAAAGAACATCCAATGGAAAAAAGACAGTCTCTTTAACAAATGGTGCTGGGAGAACTGGACAGCAACATGCAGAAGGTTGAAACTAGACCACTTTCTCACACCATTCACAAAAATAAACTCAAAATGGATAAAGGACCTGAATGTGAGACAGGAAACCATCAAAACCCTAGAGGAGAAAGCAGGAAAAGACCTCTCTGACCTCAGCCGTAGCAATCTCTTACTCGACACATCCCCAAAGGCAAGGGAATTAAAAGCAAAAGTGAATTACTGGGACCTTATGAAGATAAAAAGCTTCTGCACAGCAAAGGAAACAACCAACAAAACTAAAAGGCAACCGACGGAATGGGAAAAGATATTTGCAAATGACATATCGGACAAAGGGCTAGTATCCAAAATCTATAAAGAGCTCACCAAACTCCACACCCGAAAAGCAAATAACCCAGTGAAGAAATGGGCAGAAAACATGAATAGACACTTCTCTAAAGAAGACATCCGGATGGCCAACAGAACAGGCACATGAAAAGATGTTCAGCGTCACTCCTTATCAGGGAAATACAAATCAAAACCACACTCAGGTATCACCTCACGCCAGTCAGAGTGGCCAAAATGAACAAATCAGGAGACTATAGATGCTGGAGAGGATGTGGAGAAACGGGAACCCTCTTGCACTGTTGGTGGGAATGCAAATTGGTGCAGCCGCTCTGGAAAGCAGTGTGGAGGTTCCTCAGAAAATTAAAAATAGACCTACCCTATGACCCAGCAATAGCACTGCTAGGAATTTATACAAGGGACACAGGAGTACTGATGCATAGGGGCACTTGTACCCCAATGTTCATAGCAGCACTCTCAACAATAGCCAAATTATGGAAAGAGCCTAAATGTCCATCAACTGATGAATGGATAAAGAAATTGTGGTTTATATACACAATGGAATACTACGTGGCAATGAGAAAAAATGAAATATGGCCTTTTGTAGCAATGTGGATGGAACTGGAGAGTGTGATGCTAAGTGAAATAAGCCATACAGAGAAAGACAGATACCATATGGTTTCACTCTTATGTGGATCCTGAGAAACTTAACAGGAACCCATGGGGGAGGGGAAGGAAAAAAAAAAAAAAAGAGGTTAGAGTGGGAGAGAGCCAAAGCATAAGAGACTGTTGAGAACTGAGAACAAACTGAGGGTTGATGGGGGGTGGGAGGGAGGAGAGGGTGGGTGATGGGTATTGAGGAGGGCACCTTTTGGGATGAGCACTGGGTGTTGTATGGAAACCAATTTGACAATAAATTTCATATATAAATAAAAAAATAAATAAATAAATAAATAAAATAAAATACAAAAAAAAATAAACTACTAAAAATTAATATGAACAGTTGGGTTCTCCTGTGTTACAATAGGAATACATAACTTTATTTAAAGAACTAGTTTCTCTTTGTGCCACCTTCATCGCCATATCCTACCTTTTTCTAGATATGCTCTTTGTATACATCTCCAAATCCACCTTCGAGTCAACAGAGGAGGGAGGTTGACTTCTCCTCCCTGCAGCTATCACTTCCAGCTCATGATCCACAATGCTATCTCCTACCAAATTATTCAAAGCAGGCCCATCTATTGTATGAATGCCTTTATTTATATAGAACATCACAGTTTTCCAGTCTTTTCACACTGTTCTCTTTCAGAAATGCTTCATAAATTCTGAGCATCCCATAAATACTAGTGCTTTCTAAAGCAATGTTGCAATAGTCTACCACCCTCAGGACCTTTAAAACTTCCATTTCCTATGCAATTAGTTCATCATCTGCCTCTTTTCTTCCCCTGAGGGTGATGTCAGACTACTCGCATTCTTGACCCTTCTGACCCTGTGAGATGTAAGAAACACCCATCTCCTTGGCTCTCTGCTCCCACCTAAGGCCCTGTTCACCTCATTCAGAACTTCACTTCTGTAGTTCTCCTCTCTCTCCCTCCAAGGCTGTCCTCACTGGACCATGCCCACTGGCAAGCAAACAGACTTCAAAATCACACACCTTAAACCTTGTCCTCCATGTATGCTGCCCACTCAGCTGGCTCTCCTTTTCCTCCTCCCTTCCACCTCTGCAAAGTCCTGACTATACTTGCTACCTCTATTGCCTAGGTCCCATTTTCTCCTCCATCCACTCTAAGTGGGCCTCATTCCCCTAGAACATTTACAACCACCAACATCTTGTCAAACCCAGTGGTGAACTGGTCGTTCTCCTCTTACTCAATACTTATCTCCAGGCATCCAGACACATACTCTGCTAGTTTCCCTCCCAGCTCCATGGCCACCCTTTCTCAGAATCTTCAGCTGCCTCCTCTCCTCCACCAATCATGGAGATGGATGGCTCTTTCCTCTCTAGGACACCTATTCTCTCCATGGTGACCCTACCCAGTCCTGTGACTTTAAACACATAGCCCAACATACCAACAGCTCTCACAGTTTTATGTCTAGCCTGAACCACTCCCTGACCTTATCCCCATTCCCATGCTTCCATTTACCCTTTATTTCCTCAAATCTACCTGGCCCTCAACCAAGGACATCAGCTCTTGTTATCTTCCTAATTTCCACCAACCTCAACAAATCAAAAGAAGTAGATGGCAGACAGGTGGGAAGGCCTAAAAGAAACCTAGTTCTAATTGTAAAAAATAGATTACAACCTTCAAGACAAAGCTAAGAAGGAAAATTTCTAGAAGTTTAGTTTAATGTTACTCTTAAAATTTTCAATGATTAAAATTATTTTGCTGTAAAATATGATTCATTTCTTACATTTGCAGTGTTTTAATTAAGAAGACTTACCCTAAACAGTAACCCTGCCAAGCTCTGGGCAAACAAGTCCTTTATTTGTTTATCCTTTGGCTTCTGCATGACAGCTTCTGTTATCCTGAGTAGTATTTGCAACATCTGTTCCCTGGGCCACCCAAAATAAAAGCTCATATTATTAATCATGTCTCCAAAGCACTTTCATTTATAGGTACAAGAAATTCTCTTAAGAATTCAGCAACATCGGTAATCAGAGTAGAAGTATTAACAATCTGAATGCCAACTATATAACGAATACCATATTTTATCAAAATAAACCACCTTATGTTACAACAGTTCTAAAAATCCTGTGCCCACATTGATTGGCAGGATAAAACAGGTATCATCCTAGCCTGATTTTATCCCCTTCAGACAGGAAGGCAAGACTGCCTCTCCAACTACACCAGTCTGTTAAAAGTGTTCAGTGAATAGTTATGCCCACATGAACTTACACAGCACCCTTAAGTTTTCCCATCCATTCTTTTACTTAACCTGTGAGGTCTCCATATCTATCTTTGTGGTAGGAAATAAAATGGACATTCTGGTCCTCATTCTGGGGAGATACGCAGTCAGTATCATACTATGACTAAACTCCAGAGGAACTCACAGGTAGGGGGGTTTGGAAAGGTCACTGTTGTTCACTATGAGGCATGGAGCTTTGTGCCTGGAAGATGCTAAGTCTGCAACACAGGGCATGAAGACACCAAATAACACCGCTAATTAGGGTAACAGCAATAAGTTCTTCAGAACAGCCAAAATGTTTTTTTTTTTTTTTCCTCACAGCTAAGTTACACTCTTCATATTAGAGTGTTTGCTCACTTTTTCTTTTCTTCAATTCTCTACAAACCAAGAACACTGTATCTTTTGTATATAAGGGAGGTCCTTTTGTTCTGAGGGGAATCACCCCTTTTAACTTCTCCTTTGAGGTCTTATACACTAACTGCCTGTTCACCTTTATAACTTTCTCCTTGGTCTACATGCTCTTTAGTGATAAAATCAGGAACTGGGCAAAGTAATCTAGTCTAGGTCAAATGAACGGATCTCAAAATCATAGTTACTTTATACTTTTCGCATACCCCACATATTGAGACAGTATTTTCCCTTAACATGACATTGAATCTAATTAAGCTTCTCATGGTACAATGACCTCTAAGGGTTTCCTGACTTATTTGTAGCTGACCATTTGGTTTTCGTCCCAGGGTTATCCACTGGTATACATTCATAACTCTGCTCTAGTATTTGCCTCTGCTGCATGCTGTCTACAGGTTCTAGATGGAATAAGAAGAGCTGGCAAGCCATGGGAGATCTTGGGCACTTGTGTGTGGAGTAGACAGCTTAGAGGAGAATGAGGGAAGAAATGGTGCAGAGCTGGGGGCAGCATGTCCCTCACCATATTCAGGGTACCCAGGCCCCTGTCACAGGCCCTGGTGTCACCACTGCCTGCTCACATTTATGCGATGCTTAAGACAACAAAAAACAATCCTTTCCACACGAATGGTTACATATCGATCCTATGAACATGAAGAGAACAAGAGACATAATTTTCAAATAAAACCTCAGTCATGGGAACTGCTATCAAAAAAATGCAAATCTGACCAAAGCAATGACTGACAAAGACACAGGGTTAATTTAATTTCTGAACCCATGAAAACCTGGCAAGCCATGAAATTCCCACACAGAGTCTTCTGGAAGAAAATGAGGGTGAAAAAATTGTCTCCAGTTTGGAAAAAACATTTCCTAACAGTTTTGACAGTTTTCAGTTTGGGGTTTTTTTTTGTTTGTTTTTTTTTTTGTTTTGTTTTGTTTTTTGTATTTTGTGAAACACTGACTTTTGGTCTCTCCTCCTCAAAGGAGAACTCCACGAGTGTAAAACTTCCCTGGAAGCATGTGAAATCATGCGTGTGCGCTGTCCCTGCCCTGAAGAATAAATAGGGTTTCCTGCGCTCTTTAGGACTTACTTTGTCCCCATCTTCTCACACATGTGGTACTGTTACCCATTCACACAACGCTGCTCACTGTCACTTCCACTTCTTGGCACTTCCCTGGCTACAACCCTAGTCTAAGCTGCCAGCAGCTATGGCCACAAATTTTGTGCCCCACCGCATTCTCTTCTCCAGAGGAAGTCAGAGAAATCTTCTGGAAACATAAACTGGATTGTGTCGTACCCTTATATACATAGAGGGGTAGCCAGGGTTCCTCCTGTGGTCTGCCAGGCCCCACAACCTGGCTGTGGCTGGCCCCCATCACACCCCCTCCCACTCTCCCTCTCTTTTCTCTGTTCCACCACACTGGCCTACAAGACACCACACTTTCAACCTGCTGTTCCTTCCTTAGGGAGCCCTTCCCTCAGAACTCCCAGTGGCTCATCCCTCCCTTCCCTCAGGGCACTGCTCATTTAGGCCTTCCCAGGCACCTGGTGAAAAACACTCCCCCACCCTCCACTCTGTCCCCTTGGCCAGCTTCACTGTTCTTAGTGCTTAATACCACTGAAATTGCTTCTTTGTTCATTATGTCTCTCAGTCTGAGGACAGAAACCTCACAAGGGCAGGAACACTGTCTGTTCAGTTTGCCCTACGTCCTCACAGCAGAACCTTAGTAGTTATTTACTGGATGAAAGAAGGGACGAAGGGAATTCAGGCATTGTCTGGCACTAAAATACATAAGGAAATCTGCTGGGGAAACAGGTCACACTTCTTTTTATGTTCTACTGATTATTTTTTGGTATTCTCATCTATTTCTATAAATTGGGTTTCTTTTTTTAACACTTTAACCTGAAAATTTCTGAATTATTAAAGATCAGAGAAGAATTGCTTAACTTTATCTCAGAATTTCCACCAAAAAAAATTATCAAGACAATCAAAATACTACTGGTACTAAGATATACTGAACTCATCGTTTTCAAAGAAAAAAAGCCATCAAAAATACTATTGCTGTAACTGTGCTATCGAGGAGCAGATGGTTCTGTTGACAGCATACCAGCATTTCTCATTACTCTCAATGTTACTGACACAGCATTTAACTTTGTTTAAGTCATACAGTACTATTTCCAGCTCTAACAACTGCTTCTTGAGGACACTGGAATTTATGCCTTGAAATAATCATGTTGATTCCCATGGTCTCTGTATTAGTGAACCTTCTGCATGATGGGATTTCTCTAGGCCCACCCTTCCCTCACTGAGAAAGAAAAGGACTGGACTCTGCAGCCCTAGAGACCCCTGTCGGCTCAGTCCTGTCTCATTTCTATGCTTTCCACCAACTGCACACAGACCTTTCCAAAGTACCCCTGGCACTGACTCAAGGCCACCCAGAAAAAGCATCAGACAGGCTTGGTCACAGGGCCCACTGAGGATTTCCATGAGGGAAGTGGGCACCAGTGCTGGTCTGCAGTGGCCTCCGTGGACTGAGCGCAGAAGCCAAAAGTCACTGACAGTGACACTGACCACAGCCAGGCTGCTCCTGGGCAGGGCTGGAGGGGAGGAACACGCAAAGGACAGATCGGAGAGACATTTTACAACCAGAACTAAGAGACACGAAGAAAGGGGACTCTGAAACCCCCTCCTAAGCTGGGGTGATACATTCATTGTGGGACAAGGGCCTGGGAAAAACCTAAGGCACTGTTTTTAAAACAGGCAATGCTTTTAGGGACATTATAAACACACAGACACCAAACAAAAACAAAGGATGAAAATGAAAACACTTCACATAAGCACATTTTCATGACGCCACTGTATTTCTGACTGCATTATTTATTTACTCATTCTGACAAGCTGTCATTTAAAATAATTGTTTTTCCAAAGTGAGTTTAAAACTTCAAATTTGAAGCAATAAAAATAAGTTAACAACATTTCAGAGCAATTAACAACCTTTCCTAGGCTTACAAAAAATGTTTTTATAAAACACCAGTTATATTGTTTCTCCACAAAACAGTCTAATGACAGTTTAAAATGGAAAAATCTACTATTAAGTAATATGACTACTTTTAATTCAGGAATATTTTTAAAACCAATAATAGAAATAAATAAACTATCAAAGTACTGGATACTTACCTTCTTCATAATTCACAGAAACTGTAACCAAAGACTATCATCTTATTGTCAACTTTGTAAAGCCATTTAATAAATGGAGGTCTTAACATTTTAATTATTATTTTGAAAAACAAAAACATCTGTTTTACAATATTAATTTGAAATAAACTTACCATGTCTTTTTATTCATTGTAAGCTCCATTATCATACGCCTAAAAATAATCAAAACAGCTTTACAGGCATCGACTTGTTCTTTCAAGAGCATGGGAACCTCAGCACATGGTTCCAGCAAAAAGACATTTGCAGCATTTGTCAAAAATACCTTGAAATCAACAAATTTTACATTAGAAAGTGTAATTAAACATATGAATCTGAACAAATTTTTCTTAAAGATAATGATATTAATTTTCCTCTACCAATGAGTCACCTTTGAGTTATTTCAATTAAGGCAAGTGGTACCAACACATACTGAAGATTTTTTTAAAATGCTTCTCTTAGAATCACTTAAACAACTGAGACCCCTGAAAGACCTTTCCTTAGAAAAAAATTATTAATGCATATTAACATTGCAACTTTAGAAAACGTATGAATAGGAAAAGGTTTTGAAGGCTTCTTTTTGACATTCCTTCATGGGAAAAGGGGGAAAAGACAAGGTAGGCTCACTGCCTCTGGGTGAGACATTTGGAGGTGGGGGAGGGGGAGAGGAAGACGAGCAGTGGTTGGCCAGTGGCTAGAGAAAAACATCTGATTGTTGTTGGACCTCCCAGAACATGAACTCTGCTGGCAGTAAGCATGGCCAGCAGCATCCAACAGAGGTGCAGACTTCCAGGGGCTCTAGGGAGCCAGGAAATGGCCAAAGCCACGTGATCGACACTGCATAGCTTCTCGGTGCATATGTTTTTAATATGAGAACTTAATAGGTAGTAAGATATAAAACCTAAGTGAATTCTCACAATAAAAACAGGTCTTAAAAAATTTAATCAGCCAACCACTCTATACTCTGCCTCAGACCTTTAGGATTCAAGTTCATTGTCCCCTTCTGTCAGTGGTATTTCAGTAGAAAACTGTGAGAAGCATGCATCTAGGCTGTTATGCAGTAAGTTACTGCTTGGGGCACTACAGGAAAATAACACTGTGTTACCGCTGACAAAGATGACACCAGTGACCCCTCAATGTAGGAGATTCTGAGTTGTCAGTCTGGTGATGACTGGATAGATGGATGTGCACCATCTATCTAGATCCTATGCTTTTTAAGTCTTCTTTGTATTCAATAGTACAAACTCAAAGGATCTACTTCTCTGGCTCACCTGTAGATGAAACTCATTAACACAACATCTCAAAATGGATGTACAAACTGACTAGAGAGATTAAAATAAACACGCTCAAAAGTCAAGTGGGTGAACTAAAATGTTGACAACCTATAAGATTATCTTATGCAAGATTAGAAAGGTGTTATGACCCAATTTTTTAGAAAGATTACTAAATAAGCACTATAAAAGTTGATAATGGATGATAACATCAATTGCAAATAATTTACTAGCCCTCAAGTGGGGAAAAGGAAAATAAAGAAGTTTCTGACTAACCAACTATAGTGGTTTTAGTGTAATTTTAGTGGCTGTCTTTTTTCAAGTACAGCATAGATGATCCATTGCAAGACAGATCCTTTTAACTCAATGTATTTGGCTTCTCGATTTGAATTTGAAACTTCGCATATTCCCAAGTAAAAGTGAGGAGTCTTCATATGTTATACACTTCTTTCATTTTATTTTTTAAAAAAGATCAAAATGCCAGGTTCATGAATATTTCTTACTACCATGTTAGTATTGGTTAAGGTAAAAATAAAGAAAGAAGGGGCACCTGGGTGGCTCTGTTGGTTAAGCATCCAACTCTCGGTTTCAGCTCAGGTCATGATCTCACTTTTCATGAGATGGAGCCCTGCGATGGACTCTTTGCCAACAGTACGGAGCCTGCTTGGGTTCTCATTCTCCCTCTCTCTCTGCCCCTCCCCTGCTCATGCTCTCTCTCAAAAATAAATATATAAACTTAAAAAAATAAAAAAAAATAATATGTTCAAATTGTACTTGTAAACAGCAACTGCAGAAGAAGATGATCTTATCAAACCTGCCATTTGGCCATTTTTTTCCTAACAAAGCAAGTGAAGGAGCAAAAATGTTGGACACAAAGAGAACAAAAATAGCTACTATAAAAAAAAAACACAAAACCAAAAATAGCTACTATAATCCAAACTAAACATTTTAAAAATTGTTGTGCTATAATCAAGTGGAATTTTTGTTTCTTGGTTCAGCCAGGTAGATGTAACCTAGCCTTTCAGAAAACAAATTAACACTCTTCTGAACCTAGGGAGACACTGGCAGTAGAATGGCTAATGACAGCAAATGGCAACCTACTTGGAGGACAAGGGCTAACAAGGGACACAGGGAAGGGACTCCTACACGTACTTCTCTGCTGGCGGAGGGGGGAAGGGGAGGGCGGGCACAGATTATACTACCGACTGGCACCAAAGCTCTTTGAAGCTACTCAAGTAAAATCATCTTGATTTTTTTTTTTTTGGTTAATTTAAAATTATTTGCTGATTTTCATTGAAAAATGAGAAAATTCAATAGTTATAGTAAACTGCTAATGAATTTGAAGCAAAAGGATATCATGATAAGAAATCTTATCAAGAGACAGATGACAGAAGCAGTGTCAGCAAAAACCCGGCAACACACAATCCATGCCCGTGCCATCACCAGACCTCATGCCCGGCCTCTGTGTGGGAAGCCTAACTGGACACAACTAGAAAGGTGAGTATGGGGGGGTGGGGGGAGGAAGAGGCACCAGGGAGCAGAGGAAACAGAGGCACTCTGTGTTTTCACTTATACTCCTAACAATCTTTACCCTAGATGGACCCAAAAGGTAATCTCCTCATCCCCATTTCTGAGATAAAATCCTGAGGTCTGGGATAAGACTAAATGATCAGCCAAAGTTTCTCTTTCCAATGTTCCCAAATGGCATTGGTTCTATTGGTTCTATTGGTTATATATTCATTCAGGTAAATATCTAAAAACTGGAGCATTTTTTTAAATCATTCTTCATAAACAGGCAATTTTTAAGAAGAATATTCCTTTTAAGATTATATAATCATCATGATTATCTTTCAAATTAGAGTCCAGGTCACTGACTAACTACCCATATGTGTTCAGAAAATATTTTTTTCAGATTGAGATCTCAGCCATTTCACTCCATAACAATCCCTCTGAAGAAACCGCAACCCACTCGTAGGTCTCCTTTGACTAGAGAAAGATCTGTACAAACTGAAGGTAAGAAATCAGGAAGAAAACTCAGAGAACTTGAGAGTGGTTTACTGACAGATGGCTAAATATATCACCATACTTTATATGTCACTATCGCAATAAACAAATGTTCAGTGGACTCCAACTGGGGGCCTTTATGTCTCCTGCCAGATGCATACCTGCAGCATAGCCTGGGCCCCGGCTTTCACGTTCTTATCTTCCTCTTCTGTCACACAGCCTCTGCTCACTGCACTCGAGAAGGAGTATGTGCGTCCCCAACTAGAAGAGCGCTTATGACGGGAACTTTCCGACAAGGTCTTCAGAAGATAAAAATCAGTTAACAGAGGGGGAAGAAGTACATGTTTGCATATTTAATTCCTTACACTCACCAAAATTCATGAGAATGTAGGTTTTAGTAGGGCAAAATTTTTTCCATTTTGTTCACCACCTCCAGTACCTAACTAAGACAGTGTCTAGCATTTAGTATATGCTGAATAAATAAAGGTCCAGACTGAATGAGCCTGTAACACAGACCTTTAAAATGTGTGATAAATTCCATTTGCCTATCTATTTGTTTTGGCCTCATGACTAGTTATTAAAATGATTTCACCAATATTGAAAAATTAAAACTATGGAATTAATATAGATATTTAAAAGTGATATGCCTTTGGCCACAAATATTTTTAAATGTTTGTTGTTAATTGCTACAACACCCACTTTTAGAAATAATTTATCAGACTATATTTCAAAATAGCATGCCAGATATATAAATATGGTATTAAGTTTCTTTTGTGTCTCAGGAAGAGGTCCCACTGTTTCATTTTAGATTTCTCCAGCTACTAGCATTACCTAACCAGGACTAAAAGTTCCATTCACACAGCACCCACTCTGAAGACAGCAGCCAGCCCTGTAGTGAGACTTATTTATGGAGGAGACAACACTCATTATTGGGTTAGTCCTTTTAAGTGTGTTAACATCCTAACTGCTATAGAACAGTCCACTGCAAGAGAAAAGGCTGCCCAATCATTCTAAATTGAGTTTCTCAAATGCTATTTAAACACGTCAATACTTAGGCAGTGACATTTTCAGTCTCATACAGAAACCTGTACAATACGATGGTTTATAAAACAGCTCCGAGCAATACCGAATAATGAAGCTGAGATATACACATGGACTTAGCCTGAGGGTTAGGAGATGACCTTGAACAGAGCACAGCAGCAGCCTCACTGAAACGGGTCCTCCGGGAACTCGGCAACTGGAGAGCATCAGCTATGACAAAAGAGATCCACCTGCCTGTGTCCTACTGACTGGCCCCTTGGCTGACCAGGTATACTTTGCTATAATATGTGTATTCCCAGCTGAAATAACTGGTGATAACATATTACCTCTTTGCTGTCAGTCTCTAAAAATCCTAGTTTCTCAGCATCTTCTTGGGCAACGTCTTTTTTATCTGGTTCTTCCATGAACACAGGTTTGTCCTGGAGTATCCACTTTCGGTACACTTGAACTACCTTCCTTGTTACAGCTATGTCACAGGAAGGCAACAAGAATGCCTAAAAGGAAAAAAAGAAGACTCTCTTTAACTCCACACCAGCTCAGATCACTATAGAGCCACATAATAGACACTTCCAGTCAGCACCAATTTCAGATTTTCCTCTGAAAGTTACGGGGCCAGGTATTTTTGTGCATACCAAACTTGTCTGAGGAAAAAAAGCATTTCCATAATTGGGCCAGAAAAAAACATGATGCAACTTAAAATTAACTTCTGTATTCTGAATAAGTTTTTCACAAAATAACGACCATGCATACGTACACAGATATGCTATTTGGCTATATAAACACTATACAACTGGGAACCTTTCCCAATGAATCAAAAACCGATTATAAGACAGCCATCATACTACTGCAGCCAGCTGCAGCCAAGTGTCACCCCTCTTCCCAGCTCCATCTTCAGGGATGTTGTGCTGGTGACAAAGGGAATATTTACAACACAGAAGTTGGCAAATGCTGCCAATTTAGAGCTTTTCTTTTTTCTCTTTTTGTCTTTTCCCTTTCCTTGACTTGCCCTTCCTTCTTTCTTTTCTTCCTCTCTCCCTCCCACCCTACCTTCCTTTATTAAGAGCCAATTGTTCAACTGAGTACAGACACCAACGTTAACAAGAGCCCCTTGTGCACACTTATGTGGACTTTGTAACATTACCAAATCTCCATATACATATGCACTAAGAATTTTGATTTAATATAAGATTCCAAAAATACAAACAAAAAGCTAAAGGGAAAACGTATTTCCTTTTGAGTATCTGCTCTAAGTAATATTTCTGTCTGACAGGTGAACACAAAGGAAAAGTATTCAATACTACAACAAATACTTTCATTCCATAGATGAGGCATTAAGATGAGACCCAGAACACCTGAGATATTTTCCCAGGGTTACAAAGTTAGCTAGCAATGATTCTAGGTTTTGATATCAAGGTTCAGAGATTTAATACTGTCCTTAATGTTCACGAAACAGGATGCAGTTATAGTCAGATTACAGTGTAACAAAGGTTTATGCAATATACAAATTTCCATAGATGGTGGTTATGTCACATCAAATTCCAGAATAAAGGAATCTGTGTTACAAGACTGCAACATATCAATGTAACAAATATTCTGACTTGTCTCTCAAGAATGATCAACAAAGACAGGGTGCCTGGGTGGCTCAATTGGTTGAGCATCTGACTTTGGCTCAGGTCATGATCTCACGGTCTGTGAGTTCCAGCCCTGCATCAGGCTCTATGCTGACAGCTCAGAGCCTGGAGCGTGCTACGGATTCTGTGTCTCCCTCTCTCTCTGCCCCCGCCCCCAATCTCTGTCTGTCTCTCTCTCAAGAATAAATAAACATTAGTTTTTTTTCTAAAAAAGAAAGATCAGCAAAGACAAAGAAGAGTATGACAAAGTACAATGGTGTCTAACTCCAATTTTGTTCCAAAATTTTATTACAAATATTTTCACACATACAAAAATGTTGAAATGGTTTTACAGTGAATACCCATATACTACCTCCTAGATTCTACCATTAGCATTTGCTATATTTGTTTACCACACATCTAACTACCCTTATCTTTCCTTCTTTCAATACATTTTATTTTTGATGAATTTCAAAGAAATCTGCAGACATCAGTTCATTTCACCCCTAAACATTTCAACATGCATATCGCTGACTAGAGTTCAAAATTTGTTATGGGGCCTTGGTTAAGATGGCAGAGCAGAAGGGGGACCCTATGCTTGCTTCATCCCTCAAACACAGCTAGATAAATATCAAATCATTCTGAACACCCAAGAAATCAACCTGAATGTTGAGAGAACAGAGGGAGCAAAGAAAACACATCATGGAAAATAGGAGCTTCAGAAACTTAATTCCAGGGAAAAAAGAATCATGGTGCTGCAGAGGGGAGGGAAACTTGATCTCTGAAAGGAGAGAAAGAGATAGAGAGAAAGCAGCGCCCAGGGGATTGCACAAGAGAAACACTTCCCCAACACCATTGACTAAGAAAACCAGAGCAGCTGATTATTAGTGGCAAGTTTTTACATACAGCAGGGCTCTAAGTCTGAAGTTTTAGAAGTCTGCACCACTGCTGGGCAGAGCCTGTCAGGCATAGTGATGCTCCTGTGGGAAAGGAGGGCAGAGGCCTGGGAGCAAACTGTGTGCTTTGAGGATCTCCTGGGTCACACTGGGAGAGACAGTTTCCCTTACTGGAGTGCATTTGGGAGAGGCAGCAAGACTCTCAAGGGACAAAAGAGCTGGCAGGCACCAATGTGCTGCCCCGTTCATTAGCATAGGAACAGAGACACCAGCCAAGGACAGCAAACCCTGATGCCAGCTTTGAGCCACCACGTGATTGTGCAACTGCTTTTCTGGAATTAATCAGCACTAGTCACAGTGTGGTGAGATGCTCCCCCAAAGGATAAGCATAGGTCTGTGCCATGCCATGTACCTAAAATTTGGAGTTTTGAAACCTAGTCAGGTGCCTGAGATAAAACACAGGGGTACTGTGCTGCCTGGCCAGCACACAGCTCAGACACAGACAGGGTGAAGGCATGATCTAATGGAAGCCAAGGACACAGGACAGGTGTTGGTTTGTTCTTCAATGAGGGCTTCCTGAACAGCGGCAGGTGCAAACTACCTGCTCAGGAACAAGAGAGTGGGGTGATGCCATTTTCATCTCCTGCCCACCAGCACTGACCAACCTCAGTAAGCAACACAGCGCCTCCCATGGAGGCTGGAGCCACTTACACCAAGCTTCACCCCACTGTGCCCTGCAGGTGCATCTTTACTAGGGCAAGTTAGCCTGACAACCAGTGCAGCAGGCGCCTCCCCCAGAAGAACAGCAAAACCCCTTGCATGCATGAAGTCTACTGACCATAGAGTGCTCCAGGATCAGGCTTATTTTAACAAGCAGACCAAAGCACACCTACTTAAAACATCATAAACTAAATAGGGTCCAATAACTTCACACTTCAGGTAAGGAGAAAATTCTGCAAAGGACTGACCTGAGGGAAAGAGCAGACAAAACACAATAGAGTACACACTGTGAAACACTTCCTGAAATGCCAGGCCCTGGAAAGTATAGAACCCCTTCTTAATTATAGCCATTACTCTCAGTAGCAGGAATATAACAGGCTTTCCTAATACATAAAAGAACAGTGACTTAGACAAAATGACATGAACAGAGGCAATCACCCCAAAGGAAAGAACAAGAGGTCATGGCCAGGGATTTAATCAAAGCAGATATAAGTAATATGTCTGAATCAGATTTTAAAACAATTATAAGGATACTAGGTGGGCTTGAGAAAAGCACAGAAGACACTAGAGAATCCCTTATTGCAGAGATAAAACAACTAAAAGCTAGTCAGGCTGAAGTAAAAATGGTATAAGTGAGATGCAAAACCAACTGGATGAAATGACAAGATGGACAAAGCAGAGGAACAAATCAGTGATTGAGAAGATAAAATTATGAAAAATAATAAAGCCGAAAATAAGAGGAAAAGAAAAGTAGTGGATCCACAAATGTAGATTTAGGGAACTCAGCAACTCCATAAAGCATATCAACATTCATATCGTAGGAGTCCCAGAAGAAGAACAGAGGGAAAAGGGGGCAGAAGGTTTATTTGAGCAAATTATAGCCGAAAACTTCCCTAATCTGGGGAAGGAAACAGATACTGAAATCCACGAGACACAAAGAACTCCCACCAAAATCAACAAAAGCTGGCCAACACCAAGACGTATTGCGGTAAAATTTACAAAATACACAGACGAGGAAAGAATCCTGAAAATCAACAAGGGAAAAAAGTCCTTAACCTACAAGGGAAGAAAAACCAGGTTCAAAGCAGATCTCTCCACAGAAACTTGGCAGGCCAGAAGGGAGTGGCATGATATATTGAATATGTTGAATAGGAAAGATATACAGCCAAGAATACTTTAGCCAGCAAAGCTGTCATTCAGAATAGAAGGAGAGATAAAGAGTTTCCCAGCCAAACAAACAATAAAGGAGTTTGTGACCACTAAACCAGCCTTACAAGAAATATAAAGGGTACTCTTTGAGTGAGAAAGAAAGGCCAAAAGCAACAAAGTCTTGAAAGGAACAGAGAACATCACCACACACACCAACTTTACACATAAAACAATGGCACCAAATTCATATCTGTCAATAATCACTTTACAGGTAAATGGAATAAATGCTCCAATTAAAAGATATAGGATATCAGAATGGACAAAAAACAAGATCTATATGCTGCCTATAAGAGACTCATTTTAGACCTAAAGACACCTGCAGATTGAAACTGAGGGAATGGAAAACCATCTATTATGCTAAAGGGCATCAAAAGAAAGCCAGCATAGCCATACTCATATCAGAAAAACTAGATTTTATATTTATTTATTTTTGAACGACAAAGAGAGACAGAGCACAAGGCGGGGGCGGGGGGGTGGACAGAGACAGAATCAGACACAGAATCCGAGGCAGGCTCCAGACTCTGAGCTGTCAGCACAGAGCCGGACGTGGGGCTGTAACTCACAAACCATGAGATCATGACCTGAGCCAAAGTTGGACGCTTAACCAACTGAGCCACCCAGGTGCCTCCAGAAAAACTAGATTTTAAACCAAAGGCTGTAACAAGAGTTGAAGAAGGGCACTATATCATAATTATGGCTTCTACTCAACGAGAATATCTAACAATTGTAAATCTCATGTCCCCAACTTGGAAGTGCCCAAATACATATCAATTAATAACAAACATAAATAAACTCATTGATAATAATATAATAAAAGTAGGGGACTTTAACATCCTACTTAGAGCAATGGGCAGGTCATCCAAGCAGAAAACCAACAAGGAAATAATAGCTTTGAATGACACATTGGACCAGATGGACTTAACAGATATATACAGAACATTTCATGCTAAAGCAGCAGAATACAGATTTTTTTTTAAGTTCATATGGAACATTCTCCAGAATAGATCACATACTGGGTCACATACCAGCCCTCAACAAGCACAAAAAGACTGAGATCAC